GGGGCACTGGTTGGGACCGTCGGAGAAGATGCGGGCGACGCAGTTTGCGCACATTGGGTGGTAGCATTCTGGGTTGATGAGGAATTCGAGGTCTTTGTTGAGGTAGCGCATTGTTTTGCAGACGGGGCAGATGTCGTTTGTTGAGGAGGGGGCTGGGGCCGCTGTTGCGGAGGTTGATGCGCGGCGGGTGGCCATTTTTGGAGGACGGTGGTGATGTGTCGTCTGGGAGGAGGGTTCTTCGTGAACGGTGGCCGGGGAGATGTGGTCTCCCGGGGAGGAGATGGAGGAAGAGAGTCCGGGCAATTGAGGCCTATCTCAAGGTGGCATCGGACATCAAATTCGATTAATCCGATCTTTTCAACGGCAGGAAGGAAGATGTGGCAGGTGTCGAGAAATGGAGCCTCTTGCTCGAGCAAAGACGATGATGCTTTGTCTGCAACCGCGATAAAACTGAACGACAAGTTGACGTGCAAGGCTGACGGGGAAGGATATATTAAGCCGAGGTGATTGGTTGGAGCTTCTAGGTAGACCACAGCAGGGGTGGGAGGGGCAGGGGTCTCACAGCTAGCAGCTACCCCTCCAAATATTCCATCAGCCTTTCTTGCGCTTGCGTTCCACTGCCTTCGACTGTCAACACCACTTCAAAGAATTGCAACAAGATGGCTGACAACGACAAGCCAGGTACGTTTCTGCTTACTAGAACATATTTTATCAGATATTCAAACTCGAAAACAAATCATCGTTACGAATTCCGTGCTGACAAATGCTGTTCAAACAGAGCTCACACCCGCCGAGGAGGCCGCTGCCCGCGCCAAGGAGACGGAGGAGCAGAATGCGCTGCCGTACAAGTGGCAACAGACCATTGCCGACGTCGACATCACCTTCAGCGTCCCCGGTAACTACAAGAGCAGAGACCTCGTCATCGACATCAAGAAGACCAAGCTCTCTGCCGGTGTGAAGGGCCAAGAGCCCATCGTCAGCGTACGCCACAGTTCCTTCGTCCTTTCTTCTCTCCATCTTCCCTTGTGCCTACGTAGCTACAGCAAGTACGATGCATGATAGATAAGTTCGCTTACACAACGATAAAATCACAGGGCGACCTCTCCCACCCCATCCTCGTCGACGATTCGACCTGGACCTTATCCTCGGCGCCCGACGGCACAAAGACGGTCGAGATCCACCTCGACAAGGTCAACAAGATGGAGTGGTGGGCGCACGTCGTCACCACGGCGCCCAAGATTGACGTCTCCAAGATCACCCCCGACACGAGCAAGCTGTCCGACCTCGATGGCGAGACCCGCGGCATGGTGGAGAAGATGATGTTTGACCAGCGCCAAAAGGAGCAAGGGCTACCCACCTCGGACGAGCAGAAGAAGTTTGACATTCTCAAGAAGTTCCAGGCCGAGCACCCGGAGATGGACTTCAGCAATGCCAAGATTAGCTAGACATTAAGAGATCCCGCTTTTTCACGAGAAATGAGTCTAAATCAATAAAAGTACACACATGTTCATGACAGGCTGATGTAGGGAAAGATGTATGCTTTGAACCGCGATGATCTTGTATTGAGTCATATCTAAATGCTTTTCTGAGCTGAATAGCTATGTCAGGGGTGAAACGAAGAGCCAAAACCACCGAATGGCGAAAGCCATAGGTTACGGCATCAGAGAGCCCATGCGTAGACCATTGCTCTTGGATCCGCTAGTAATGGTGAAGCAGATTGATTGCTGCGACCCATCAATTGTCAGATTGATAAGCGGTCCGTTTCGCAAACTAGACCAATTTCCTCCCAATCGATGCACGCTAGTTGGGGGGAAGACGCGCAACAAGTTTGCCCACGACATCACAAGAAACCAACACTGTAAGAATTAGTGGATAGTAGCAAAGTATGAGAAGCAAGACACGACAGGATTCATGAACTACAGAATCGCTGATCGCGTGGGGAGACCCAAAGTAAGATCTCTATCAATCCAATTTGCTATCCGTTCTATCCACCTCTCCGCGTCCGAATGGATGGCGTTGCAGGGTCAGATCTGGACGGGAACAATGGATTGGGGGACAATCAGTCAGTGTGATCACTGGATTCGGGAACTGCAACGTTTCGTTTGTTAGCCGTGACTCTTAACGATGAAGTGAAGTGCAAACAACAACGAAGTAGCAATAGCATCGAGATCAGAAATTAGAACCATATCCACACATTGGAATTGAGATAGGGATAACTGTATTAAAAATTGTCTTGGTCATCAGGTCGAGGGGACGGAAATGAAAGCTAGTAGATATTCGTCTTACCTAGCATGATGTGTTACGGCGAGCTGAGCTTAGGACATCCAAGGAGGTACGAATGGTGAAGCTGGCGTATCCTGTGGTAACTTTGCGTCTTGTTAGCCAGATTCCTTGGACAAGATCGTCAAACGTGAGTAGCAGAAAGAAGGAAATCAGAAATTAGAACCGTATCCACATAATGTTATTGAGATAGGGATAACTGTATAAATAATTGTCTTGGTCATCATTTTGGGGAGGGAGTTGAGGTTAAGAAAACAATCAGCCACATACCTATTCTTCTTGGGTCCGACCAGATCACTGCTTAGAGAGACGTGCAGCTTTGAACTTGCTGATACGCTGACCACCATCAGCTTCATCAAGAGGCCGGACCACGGACGTATCCTCTTGGAGGAAGCCACCCTGTTTCTGGATGAAGTTCCGACGTTGTCGGTGATACTCGTCGGCGAGATCCTGGTCGATGAAGTCCTCGTCAAAAGCGTTCTCGTTCTGAGGTTTGCTCTCCTTCTCGACGACTGCGTCTGCCAGTGTCTTCCCCTCAGGTCCCGTCGGGGCGGTGGGCCTGTCTTGGTCGATGAAGCGTGACGGCACATCGCGCGGGCCCATGGGAACGAAGCCATCATCAACGACCGTCGGCGCTGCCTTCTGCTTCTTGAACCGAGACACCTTGCGGGTTGACTTGGCCTCCGCTTGTCTGGCGGGGCCGGTACGCTCTACAATGTCGCTGAGAGGCTCCACGATGGGCTCTGGCGGTGGTTGAGGAACAGTCGGCGGCGCGGCAGCGATGTCCGGAACGCTATCTGGGGCGACATCCAGGCTCTGTGCGAACCGGACGCTCTTCTTGCTCTCGTCCGCGTCCGTCGGGGAAGAGGTCCTCAGGATGGACGTCGTAGGGACAGGCGACGGCTTGGCAGCTTCGACCGCCTTGCCCTTGTCACCTGAGTTAACGATGATGCGACCAATGCCCTGTTGGTCTTCGTCTGACTCCTGGTCATCTGCTTCTGACTTCTGAGTGAACCGAGACTTGACCCCGAGTCGCTTTTCGAGCTCTAACATCCGCTGATGATACCCGTCGTCTAAGACGCTGGAAGTAGACCGACCAAACTTGTCTTCTTCATCGTCGTCCTCGAGATCAGAGTACTCATACTCCCAGTCCTCGTCATCATCGGCAGAGCCATCGCCATCCTCAAGGTTGAGTTCAGCCACGACTTGGCCCACCTCTTCCATGCCGTATTTCAGCATCTCTCGGCGGAGAAAGGCATCTTCCTCAGACTCGTCTTCGGGAATGACGGGCGCTTCGCGGCTGATGTTTTCCTGGCTCCTGGCGGTTTGCATGATCTCTTCAACTCGTTGAGCGTTCCTCGACACCTGTTGCTCTGCAGAGGGCTTGGTGTCTTGGGCGAATGAGACGGACTTCTTGGCTGGCACAGAGTCGTCAACCTCTGCTTCGGGTAGCGACTCCTTTACAGATTGCGCGGGATCCGGGGCTGGTGATGTTGACTCGGATGCCTCAGCCAGAGGCTCGTCGGTGACGTCTTCCACGATGGGCTCTGTCTTCTCCGTCTGCGAGGGTTGGCCGGCCGGGATGCCCTTGACGCCTGCCTTCTCCAGGATCTCCCTGATCTGAGCGCTCGAGTCGCCAGGCTGCTGCAATCGGCTGGAGAGCACATTACCCTCTTCGTCGAGCTCCTCGATGATCTCCGTTATAGGCAAGCCATCCTCATCCCGTACGTCAGGGTTGCTGAGAACGCTGGCGGCAGCGTGCTTCTCTTCCGCAGTCTCGAGCTGCTTCTCAAGAGTGGCGATGTTCTTGGAAACATAGTCGATGCGACGCGAAAGCAGGTTGACAATTTGGTCGGCAGGCTTCAGATCAATGCGCCCAAAAAGGTCGTTGATCTCTTTCTTGTCGACAACCTCGCCCTCGAAGTCTCTGCGAATGCGCGCAAGAGCCTCCCGACTGGCAGGCTGGGGAACCGACTCGATTTCCTCTCTCAAGGACTCGTATTCAGCGTCCCATTTTTGCCAGTGCTGCAAAGCCTTCTGCAGCTTAGCAACAGAGTCTTCAAGCTGCAGGCGATGCTTTTCCAGGTCCAGGAAACTGTCTCTGACTGCTGCCATGGTGAAGGAAAAAGAAGGGGAGAGAAGGGAAATTGAGAAGTTCTTGGAAGCAAGATCAGGAAAAGGAAAAAAATTCCCTGTCGGAAGGTAGGGGTTCGGAGCTCTAAGAAAATTAGGTAATCTTCTCAAGTGCAGGTTGTTACGTAAGGCCCACTTAGCTTTCCAGCAACGCGCCCCTGTACATACGCATACCCGTAAGGTACTTTGGATAGGGGCCCTCACCTCCCCTGCAAAAGGCAGTGCCGCAGCTCTTACTGTTACCCGTTGATTCTCGGCGGCGATAGATACCTCACAATTCACTAACGTATTCAGTTCTTATGAAACAAACACGCTCAGCTATAGGAGAACCTTGCCTTTATTATACCGTGAACGCGCCAAAAGGTCGAGATTGAAGTCAAAACGGTTCAGACTTTCATTCTCACCTGCTTGAGCCATTCATGATGAGTGGATGGATTCGCGCCTACTGATATCAGGGACTAAGATAAAGAAAATGTGTTACATCAAACGACTATAATATCATCATTTCGATTCATATGGAAGGCTTTGGTATTCCGAATCAGAATGCTAAGATCTAGGTCTGATGCCAATCATGTACTTTCCCGCTTTCAGATGAAGGACTGTGAAATGAACAAGTTCATGAGACTGATTGGGGATTAGAGACAGGTCGTACCGCCGAAGTAGAGACACAAGGGTGAGCCGCAGCTCCGTCCACGCGAATCTTCTCACTTGATTAGTACCAGGCTGAAAATGAGAGCCATCGGGCGACTTACTGTTTTCCAATACAGTTCCGCGATCCCGCAGAAAAGGGGTAGTATGCCGTTCTTTCGTTGGCGGCCGTGCCCTTGTAGTCAGACAGCCATCTCTCGGGAACGAACTTCTCTGCGTCAGGCCACTGCTTCTCATCCCAGTGCAGTACGGTGGTGTTTGCAGTCACTCTAGTCTGTTCGATGTCAGTCAAGCTCTGGGAAAGATGGACTTTGACTTAAGTGTCTCGTAGGAAAGGCGGCTTACCCCAGCTGGGATCAAGTGATCAGACAGAATCACATCTTCATCAGTCTGTCTTTGAAGCCCTGATAAACTGTCAGTAAATCATACGTTCAGACTTTAGGAAAGAGGGATCCTACCGCCAGTTGCCGGAGGAGCAAGCCTCATTGTCTCTTTCAAAACAGCGTGCAAGAACGGCAAGTCCGTCATTTGGTCGTCTGAAACCGGCGAATTCGATAACGGAAACCTCCCCCGAATCTCGTTGACAAGGTTCTGGTAGGAAGGAGGGTCATTGAGCAAGAACATCATTGCGAATGTGAGCGTGCTAGCGGTCGTCTCGCTGCCCGCTAGCCAAAAGACGAGCATCTCGGAAAACACCTCGATACGCGACAATGTCTCTGGGTTCTTTTCATGCGTGTCGAGGAGAAGCTGTAGCAGGTCAGGCTTGGCCAGCTTGTCGGTCGACGCTTGCCTCTTTTCGATGATATCACTGATGAGTTGAGCAAGTTCGGGATCCCGAAATTTGGGTAGGAAGGGGATATACTTCAAGAAGGGCAGGAGTTGATACTTTTCCCCGCCAATCGTTAGCCATTTCGTCTCGCCACCAACTGGAGTGACACTTACAATTGTGCCCCTCTTAAAGCTCTCAGAGAACTTCTTGCGGATAGGATGCTCTCCATTCTTCACCAACTCAAACGAGCCCCCAAACGCAGTTGCGCTCATGATGTCGGACGCCAGGCGGCCCATGAGGTTCCAAGCATCAATGACGGTTTCGCCTCCATCCCGGGCGCACTGATTGTCGATGAACTCCTCGAGCGCCTCGATACAACTCAGCTTCAGCGGCTCAAGGCCCTTGAGGTAACTGATGGAGAAGCCATGAGAGAAGAGCCTTCGCCGGGTGCGGTACTGCGACCGATCTCGCATGGTGAAGAGCGTGACGCCGTCTTCGTTTTGGCTGAACTTTTCATACAGGACGCTCTTTCGGAGGTCCATTCCTACTAGAATCTGGTGGACGGACTTTTCGTCGGAGACGAGAACGAGATCGGGGGCTTTTCAATTAGGTGTCGGCAAAGGTCATCATGTTTAAGAGACGTGTATTACAACTCACCGACTCGGACAATGTCACCGTATTTACGGTTGTAGTTGATCCCCTTCTCAAACGCCTTGCCTCTGACGACTGCCACCATCCAGGGCAGAGCCGTGAACCTATTGAGCCACGGCCCAGGTATCTTGGCCAACGGGCCTGTGAGGCCATTCCATAATGCCTTGAGGACCTTCAATGCTCCGAAGGCAAGTATGAGGAATAGGCATGCTGATAAGAGAGTCTTCACATCCGGGTTGCCCAGCCGCACGACAATCAGTTCGTTGGAAATTCCCATCACAGTGTAGAGCTGGCTTGTAAGGTAGCCGGTGTTGATGTGCAGGAATATCGACAACCTTTCCCTCTTAATCGACTTTTCGAAGCCAATGCTGACTTTGTTCAGTAATCCATAAAAGTTGTTTGAATGAGTTCTTTTAAAGTTTGCGGTTCCCCATCCCATATATACTTATCGAAGGGTTGCTATTAAAAGGCCGGATCTGCTCATGGCTGTAGCTTTCCGCCGCCCCCGCTCCAGACCGGAGGTTCAACATGAGCTGGAATGTCTACGTCCGTGTAAGACAAGGCCAAAGCAGAGCCGATTTATCGACCTGCAGGCATCCTTCGTGGCGTAGACTCCGTAAACACTTGGTTTTCCATCAATAAGCACTAAAACCGGCCTACCATATCTTCTTCCTTCTTTCTACACATGACACAAATGAAGTCATCTCGAAGAAACTCACGAATTTGACAAGTCCAATAGCCCCGATCAGTGGAATGTGTATACTCGTTCCTTCGACGCCCATTGTTTTCGAGGATCGCATCATTTTGCAAATCAAACTGTCGCGCCAAGTCTGTGGTTCAATTCACGTCGTACACGATACCCGAGACAAATCTAAAGATGCCTAAATCGAGTCGCCGAGCATACTTCGCGGCCATGAAGTAGATTGCACCCCCGACCGCCAACATAGAGACGGAGACGAGCCACAGATCCCAGTTCCTAGCCTTCCGCACCGGCATCCGCATGTCTGCCGTCTGAAGGTGCATCGGTCGCAGCGCTCTTCCGCCTACCAAGCGCAACTCGTGATCAAAGATGACCTCCTCGACTATGTCGACAGCAAGTTCCTTACGTCGGGATGCTACGCGCGCTATCCTCTTCATACGCTCAACGTTCCTGCCAAAGGATCCGTCAACGTCGGATACGATTCGGCCGATCTTTTCTGAGATCTCAGTGGTAGTCAAGTCAAACTTGTCCAGGGCGAGACCGACTCCTGCTTTGACGAGTCAGGCGCTGTTGGCGAGCTGGTCGAAGAAGAAGCCCAGCATCAGAGTGGGAGTTCCGTGAAATAGGGTCTCATTTGCGCTGGAACCGCCTCCGTGAGTAAGATAGAGCCTGGTGTTGGGATGATCGAGAACGGCTCGCTGGGGAGCGAAAGATGGGACTCGGATATCGGCGTGCTTCTCATCCATGATATCACCGACTGGAAGCTTGTCACCGTTGGGTGATTTGACATGTGCTGATCTGTCGAAATTCTGCCTTGCTGACTTCCCAGTGGACCATATGACGCCGTTGGTATGCCCTGCATCTATAGCCATGACAAGACCGGTGAGTATCTTCAGGAGTTCTGCTGGTGGAAGTACAATATGGATGCCTAGAGCGACATACACCGTCTTATCATAAGACTCTAGAAACGCTCGGTAGCTTTCATCGAGCGGAGGGTACTCATCCCCCAAGATCGGCCCAACCACTTGCATAAGTGGTGGCAAGTCTTTGGCCGGCTCAAGTCCAAAGAACCAGTTGACAAACACAAGGTGGTTCGGTTTAGGCGCCACTGGAACCGAATGCTTCACGACTTGTCGTTTCCGCATCTCCCGTGTCCAGCTGATCCACGCAAAAACATGCGGCAGCGCCCAGAACAAGACAATCTCATTCCTGATACGGAACCAAATCGAAGCCTTCTCCGACGTGGGCGTGAAATCGACCTGGAAGCCCGGCTGGCCGGGGATATAACTCACAGGCGCCAGGAGATACGGCATCTGCGGCCGCATGACGGCAATGGGGACGTCAAACTCAATCATCATATCTTTGGCCGCGGCCTCGACAAAAAAGTCTGCGATAATCATGTCAGGCTTGATTTCTGTGTCGAGCATGAGTTCGCGTAAATGGAACCAAGTGTCCGGCCAGTAGCAGTCAAAGAGATACTTGGATTCCATGATGGATCCGACGCCGTCGCTGGGCCGCCACTGTATCATGTGCGCGTAGTGCGCTTCGGCGTCGGCGTCTGGCATGGCTGGACCGAAGCTGTGGACGCGGGTGATGGATGGATAGTCTGACGCCCAGTGCTCCTGGCCGGAGTTGGTTCCGAAGTGGACTTCGTGGCCGCGGGCTGCGAGTACAGCGCCGAGCTCGAGGACCGGGGCGGCGTGGGTGAACCCGCCGACAGTCGAGCATAGCAGGATACGCCGCTTGAAGGAGCAGTCTGGTTGTTACATGACTGTGGATATAGTTTCGTTCATATATAGAGGAGTTCATACTGTTTCTAAATAGACACAGCTTCTGGGTAGCAAAGCGTTTTTCTATGTCTCGACGAAGTCATTGTAAAGTGGGCTGATTGTTGGTAAGATCGAGCTTATTGTGCTGCAATGCTTCGATATCCCTCTTTCCGATTTGTTGTCCCTGGAGCAGCATGGAAAAATAAAGCTACATGAGTAGTCAGGATCCATTTCAATTTCAGTTTGAGGTAGGTGTCATTAGCAGCTTGACCAAATTGCTGGTCGGTATAGTTGATAGCGAGTCATCATATTGCGCGAGGAGTATCTCAAGAATTGAAAACCACAGGAGTACACAGAGTCTTCGGTTCCAGGTGAAAGTGGTCTCACTGCTTATCATGCCCATTTAGGCCAAAAAAAAAAGCATGATTGTGAGACGATCCTGTGGTTTGGTCCAGTTGATGTGACTTATAACCGGCTGTGGTCAAACGCTGTGCCTCGGCTGGCACCAGCGATGTTCGCCTTTGGCCAGAATGGAGATCCTTCTTGGTACATCCTACCAACGTGCTGTGTTATGCATCCTCTATTGAAACCTTGCCGAAATTTTAATGTTATTTTCTTGCATTATGTCTCTGTTGACATAGCATCCGTTGGCTGCCGGAAGCCGGACTGTGTAAGTAGTCTCCGAATACGGACGGCACTCTCTCTAGGCAACAGTTATTGATACCACCGAGTCGACCTTTTTCGCGTCAATCTTTTACTTCTCTCTTCAACAGATGGTCCAGGGTGACAATAACCCACCTATTATCACTGAGACAAAGTTGTAGGCTCAGAGTCGTTCATGAGGCTCAATTGACTACCAAGTACTTGTTGCACGGCGTCGGCTACTGCTGATATTATCTAATAACTTGGTCCAACTTTGGCCATGAATGACTATTAACAGCAGATAATCGAGCCAATCGACGACATGAGACCGGTCTTCAAGAGATACAGAGCAGTATTCCTCGTCTCGACCGCCTCACAGGAACTCAGCCAAATCAACACCGAAACCGAATTAGCGTTAGGAGAATCACGTCTCCCAAGTACCTTACGTATCAATACTCCTCCTTTGGACGGTTTGAAGTAGACTTTCCGTAAGTTGTTGATATCTACGTGACCAGAGTACCAAGTCCAACACCTCTGCGACCCCGAACGATACGGGGTCTCTTCAAATCTCACGGCGTTTTCGAGGAGGGTCCTGTGCTTCCTCATGACCAGGCTTTGCCTTGATCCCCGTCACCATCTTGTCTCTCTCCCGCTTCAGGCCTCTTGGCTGATCGATGGTGATTTGCTGACCAACTGAAATCGCGGGGAATGTCTGCTGGAGTCCGTGTTGTATGATACCAAGATGCATAGGCATCTGTGTTTGGCCGTTCTCACCGTGGACGTTGAGGTCCAGTACCCTCGGTAAGACTGCCGAAGGCGAAGGAAGCCCTTTTCTTAAATTGGCCATGTCAGATTGTATGTTCCCGGAGATGGCCTGGCCTTGAGTCTGCTGCGCAGCCGAAAGTCCCGTATTTGAGGGCTTCAGATTGTGCTCCTGGAGTAGCATCTGCGTCAGTCGAGTCTGTTGGGGAGCCTCCTTTCTCCAGAACTGACAGCCCGATGATGTCCACGTTACGCCCAATTCCTGCGGGCATCCCAGGAAATGTCGTGGCCATTTGTACTGATCACCTCCAACTTCGTACGAGAGTACGCCAAGACCCAAGTACAGGGCCCTGTTACCACCGGTTATGCCATATTTAGCCTCCGCCATCTCCTGGAACTCTTTAACTAATCTTGGAGTGTACGCCTCGAATCCAGGTGCCTTGGAGACATTTTGATGCTGACACCAACCCCCAAGTCGAGCGGCTTCCAGGCGTGTGAGAAGCATTACCAGCTTTGGGCTGTCTTCCCATGGCGATAGGGTCTTCTCTTTCCACGCAAAATGCTTGAGATACTCCTCATTCACCCAGTGACAGAGAAATGTGTCCGGCTTGGATGGCTGAATAATGTCAGCGAAGCACTTCGCCATAGCGGCATCGGTGAGCATTGTTTTGAGTGGCCAGGCCAGGAAGACGTAGTGCTTGGGCTCTGCGTACATATCCCGCGTCTCGATTTCGTTGAGAAATTCCAAGTTAGTTTTCGAAGAGCTCGGTTTTGTTTCCATTTTTTATGGATTTTTTGATAAAGAATAGAATATGACTCAAGTAATGGCTTCCGTTGTTTTTCTTACAGATCTCACTGCTTCTCGATTGCTATTCTGGAGTGTCTGGCACGAAGTATTGCGAGAGCGGATGATCTTTAACCACTGCGCAATGCTTTCTCCGGTAACTCTACGAATGTTCATACCCCAATGGCATTGGAGATACAGATTCCCAGACATTGCTTCTCAAGGTAGCGAAGGTTCATGTCCGAACAACTAGCTAGCTATTTCGACCTCATAACTGCGGTTTCAACCTTGATGTCCCTATACCATTGACTGGCGACCCCATAGTCACGATTCGCCGGCGCATTGTATAGCAAAAGAAAAAAGGCTTTCCAAGGCAGCCGCTAGGCTCCAGATTCATAGTCTTGTAAGAAGCTCATAACACTTTTTGCCGGACTCATATCTCAACTCGTAGACTACTGTCAGTTCCCTGAGTCAACATTACTTCAACGGTTTGTCATTGTATTCAGAAAACAGTGAGTAGCCCGGGGAGTACCCCACAAGCCGGTGAACCCAGCAGTTTCTACTCACCTCCAAGGAGAAGAATCCCTAGCCAGCTAGAAGCCCCAATGGTTTGCTGCAAGTCGATGGAGCTCACAAGGGCAATTTCAGCGACTATTTTATCCAATCAGTATCTGTAGAGGCAGCACATTCAGGTATAACTGTGAGGTCGCGACAAGCAATTCACTTACACGCTGGCGGGCGCTTCTTCGGCGATCGACAACCCCATGGGACGATGTGAGATGGGGAGAGCCGCGCCGTCTGCGTCAACTCCGCCAGACTCCGCACATTTCCCCAACTTCTGGCGCCATTCCGTCACCACATACACCAACATTCCACCACATTAGCTTCCTCTCCCATCCCACATCAACCGCTTCGCGATTAAGTTCGCACAAACTCAGGCCCTACGGCCAACCGTGGCTTCCTCTCTTTACCCCAGAGAACGATCTTTCCTCGGGGCTAACCGTCATTCCATCTCTCTCCCCCATCTTTACCCCCGGCATTCGTCTCTCCCCTCCGCATTAGTCTGTGCGGGGAAGCTTAAGCTACACCGCAGTCTGGCCGACGATTTTCTTCTCACGATGATGATTCGTTTTCTTTCTTCCTGTAAGACCAATTGAAGCAGGTATTCGTTTGGTAATCAATTGACTGCGACTACAACGCTACACTACTCTCACTATCGGTAGAAAAATGACGCTCATCGACTGGATGGACTGGGGAGGATGGAGGGGTATAAGAACGGCGGCGAACGCCTTTGTCTCGACGACTACACTTTGTTGGATCGCCGCCTTCCTCATCTTCTCTCAGTGTCTCTGGATGCTCTACACCCGCCGCTCAAAGCAATACCCGAGCGAGAAAGGAGAGAAACGACACGACACACAGCGCAACAACGGCAACATGTTCACCCGCGTGCCCTTTCTCCTGTCGGCAGTCGCCATCATGGCGCTCTGTGCGATGGCGAGGGTCGCGGAATTCGGGAAGCCGTTTGCACGGCAGTACCTGGCCTCTACCACGATCAGTAGCGGCCACTCGCAGTTCACCGTCCCCGCGTCGGCAGACGAGGGAGCGCATCTCATTCCCAACATTGAGGACCCGGAGGCCAAGGACCCGCAGAGCGTATGCCCGGGATACACGGCTTCCAACGTCCAGACGACATCACACGGATTCACCGCCAACCTCGACCTCGCCGGCTCAGCTTGCAATTTGTACGGGAACGACGTCGAGGCTTTGACACTCGTTGTCGACTACCTCGCAACGGACCGTCTTCACGTACAGGTGCTGCCGCGGTACCTGGGTGCTGAGAACAACACTTGGTTCATTCTTCCTGAAGAGTTCGTCCCGAAACCCGCTGCAGACGGGAAGGCGAGCTCTGATGGCTCAGACAGCGATTTGGAGTTCAAGTGGGCAAACGAGCCCACTTTCGGCTTCAACGTGTCCAGGAAGAGTACTGGAGATGTTTTGTTCACGACCACAGGAACTAAGCTTGTATTTGAAGATCAATTCTTCGAGTTTGCTTCGCCGCTTCCTGAGAATTACAACCTGTATGGACTTGGTGAAGTTATCCATGGCTTCAAGCTGAACAACAATCTGACTCGTAAGTAACCGCTGTACAGGACCAAGGCGTACCAAAACTCACAGGAATAGGCACACTCTACGCGGCTGATGCCGGTGACCCAATCGATGGAAACATCTATGGCTCTCACCCGGTCTATCTCGATACCCGCTACTACCAAGTCGATGCCGATACCAAGTCGGCCGTCTACGTCGCTAATGCCACGGACAAGAATGCCGACTACAAATCCTACACCCACGGAGTTTTCCTCCGTAACGCTCACGCCCAGGAAATCTTGCTTCGGGAGTCGAACATCACCTGGAGAGGCCTGGGTGGCACCATTGACCTCTACTTCTACGCTGGACCGACTGCTGACGCCGTGATGAAGTCCTACCAGAAGACCACCGTCGGCTTGCCTGCCATGCAGCAGTACTGGACTTTCGGCTTCCACCAGTGCAGATGGGGCTATACCAGCTGGGACAACCTGCAGGAGATTGCAGATGACTTTGCCAAGTTTGAGATTCCTCTGGAAACTCTCTGGGGTGAGTTAACCCGTCTCAAAGTCGCCCACAATTCAGAACTAACTACTCCCAGCCGATATTGACTACATGAACCAATACCGCGACTTCGAAGACGACCAAAACTCCTGGGGCTACGAAGATGCTGCCCGTGTCCTCGGTAACCTGCACAAGAACGGCCAACACTTTGTCCCCATCGTCGATTCCGCCATCTACGCCCCCAACCCAGAAAATGCCAGCGATGCCTACCCAACATACGACCGCGGCGTCGAAGCCGACGCCTTCATGCTCAACCCAGACGGATCTCTCTACGTCGGCGCTGTCTGGCCCGGCTACACCGTCTTCCCAGACTGGGTCGGCGCCGTCTTTGGCCGCAGTAAGACGTTTGAGTGGTGGACCACCGAAATGGTGACCTGGTTCCAAAAGGTCGCCTTTGATGGCATCTGGATCGACATGTCCGAAGTCTCCTCCTTCTGCGTCGGAAGCTGCGGCAGTGGGAACCTCACCCTCAATCCCGTCCACCCTCCCTTCTCGCTCCCCGGCGAACCGGGCAACGAAGTCCTCCAGTACCCCGAAGGCTTCAACAAGACCAACGGCACCGAGGCCGCCTCCGTCTCCGCCCTCTCTGCCTCACTGGCAGCCGCCCAATCCACCTCCTCAACCGCAGCAACCTCAGCATCTGCCACTCCCACAACGACATCAACAACCTCATACCTCCGCACCAAGCCCACACCAGGCGTCCGCAACGTGAACCACCCCCCCTACGTAATCGACAACATCCAAGGCGACCTCGCCGTCCACGCCGTCTCCCCCAACGCAACCCACCATGGCGGCACCCAAGAATACGACTTCCACAACCTCTTCGGCCACCAGATCCTCAACGCCACCTACAACGCCCTCCTCTCCGTCTTCCCCGGCAAACGCCCCTTCATCATCGGCCGCTCCACCTTCGCCGGCTCCGGCAAATGGGCCGGTCACTGGGGCGGCGACAACGCCTCCCTCTGGGCCTACATGTTCTTCTCCATCCCGCAGGCCCTGTCCTTCAGCATCTTCGGCGTGCCCATGTTCGGCGTCGACACGTGCGGCTTCAACGGCAACACCGACATGGAGCTCTGCGCCCGCTGGATGCAGCTCAGCGCCTTCTTCCCCTTTTACCGCAACCACAACGTCCTCGCCGCCATCCCGCAGGAGCCCTACCGCTGGTCCGCCGTCGCCGAGGCCTCGCGCTCCGCCATGGCCATCCGCTACGCGCTGCTGCCGTACATGTACACGGCCTTCTACAAGGCGCACACCCTCGGCGACACCGTCATGCGCGCGCTGGCGTGGGAGTTCTCCGACGAGCCCTGGCTCGCGGGCGCGGATCGGCAGTTTCTCCTCGGCCCGGCAGTCATGGTCACCCCCTGCCTTGAGCAAGGCGCCAGCACCGTCGGCGGTGTATTCCCCGGCGTCGGTAAGGGCACCGTTTGGTATGACTGGTATAACCAGTCCGCCGTCACCGGCGTCTCACCCGGACAGAACGTGACGATCGATGCGCCGCTGGGTCATATTCCGGTCTACCTCCGTGGCGGATACGTTATCCCGACGCAAGAGCCCGCCTTGACGACAACTGAGAGCCGGGCGAACCCTTGGGGTCTACTTGTTGCGCTGGACGGCGAGGGTGCTGCTGCGGGTAGCCTCTATGTTGACGACGGCGAGAGCTTGGAGCAAGAGGCTACTCTGACTGTAGAGGTAATGATTTTCCCCCTTCCATCACAATTCAAAAACAAAGAGGTCAAAGTAGGCGCTAACATGATAAACAGCTCTCCTCTTCCGACAAGTCGCTCAAGGCCACTCCATCTGGCGAGTTCAAGGACTCGAACCCGCTCGGAAACGTCACCGTTCTGGGAGTCCAGAGCGACGTTTCTTCGGTATCTCTTAACGGAAAGGCCCTGGACGGAGCGAATTGGTCCTTTGACTCGTCTTCTCGCGTTCTCCACGTCACTGGTCTGCAGTCTTTCACATCTGCCGGTGCATGGTCCTCTTCGTGGGAGCTTACTTGGTCCTAGAGGCCTTGAGGTAGAAAAGAACACACCTCGGGCTCGGATCTTTGGTGTGTTGAAGAGTATCTAGATAATGTTGTGGTGTGTAGGAGCGAATGAGCAGCGGACGTCACACCAAAAAAGGGGGGTTAACTGTACCCAAAGAAGACTGCAGATATCAAGAAGCAGCCGAAAGGAAGAAAAGAGATGCTCGCCCCTTTAGCAAGATGAAACCATCTAAACGCTCAGAGGCCCTGGATTTACTGTATTGTTCAGTATCAAATGAAAACAAGTTGTATGCGCTTGTGATATTTGGGATCAGCGCAAATGCACCTGCTACCCAGCGGCATTGAGTGAACAATTCTTAAGATCCCTGAATCTAGGGCAGTATGATCAATGTGAATAATAAATTTGGTATCATTGAATCCGTTGTGGCCCAGCATCCGAGCAATGCTGCCACGTTCAGCCAGCTATCCCATAGCGGCCCCCAAGCCCTCGCAGACTTCCCTGGACCTCGCAATCCTAGTCGAAGCAGCAAAGTCGCACGTCCAGACATGCCCCCATCACCTCGTCCATCAAAGCCTCTCTCAGTGGCCACCACGTCCACGGTATCTCTTATTCCCGCCGCCGCGCCACCGGCCTCCACGACCACCATGCCTCCGATCTCCACCGTGCCCCCGATCATCATGCATATCCCGCTGCCTGTCCCCCCGATGCTGCTGAAACATCTCGCCATCCTCCCTCTCCCCATCCTTCTTGATCTCCCCTTCCTCGCCCTCAACCTTGGCACTCGGCTTCTCCAAATCCGTCCTCCACCGCGGGTGCGCACCATACTTGCACCCGGGACCCTCGGGACAGAACCCGACGAGGTAATACACACATAACTTTCTCCTCACGTGCTTCTTGCTACACCGCGGACCGAGCGGACAGAAGCCCTTGTCGTAGTGCGGGCACGGCGGCAGCTTGGACTGCGGGTCAATGTGCAGATACAAACACTCCTCGCCGTTGGAGCAGTAGCCGTTGCGCATGAAGAAGTTGCACTCGGGCATCTTGCGGAGGTTGTACTCGTGCAGGAACTCGCACGACTCGCCCTTTTTGCAGAGGCCGCGGAGCCAGTGCTTGCAGACCAGGGACGGCCCGCCCGTGGGGTTCGAGGAGCTGGAGGAGGCATGGCGGTCCGGGCAGGCGGCGCCGAGGGGGCAGTGGCCCGCGAGGAAGGGCTTGCATTGCGGGCGGTCCGAGGAGAGCTCGTGGCGGTAGGTTTGGCGGAGGAAGGGGGTGAAGGCGAAGGAGGTTGCTGTCGCGGCGTGGGTGAGGATGTGGTTTGTTTCTGGACGGGGGGCGACGGCTGTCATGGTGGGCGGGTTGCTGGACGCCCCGGAGAGCTGCAGGGTCGGTGGTTGAGCTTGAGGATTGTGTCGCTGTCTAGGCTTGTGGAAAGTCGCGAGAAAGTAAGGTGTTCGTTCAAATCGCGTTGTCGCTGAGGTGTGGTTTGCGAATCGGATTGAACTATAAGTGCTGGGTCGTATGGGGGCTCCGTGGAATTATCGCAGCTGGGTGATGTAGCGTAGGTGTTGTGATTGGATAAATGACGAAGAGCGTCAGCAGCTTTGGAAGAGTTGTGCTTGATAGCTTGAATTGAAATGCGACACAATCAAGAGGAAGCTTGCTGGAAGCTTCAATCGATTGAGGACCCATATAATTAGTCAGCTGGCTCTGTGGTGGGGCATGTGTCTTTCGGGTCCGAGTGGGCCCGGCCTCCGGCGAGGTAACTCGGCTTCCCGTCCCGCATGTAGACTCATTCCGTCTTCTGACAACCTCGGAAGTTAACAATCATTTATGCCTGCTTTAGTTTTTTTTGAAAGTGACTGCAGCGATAGTCTTATGCCTATTCTGCAGATACGGAGTCTCGGAGAAATGTATGAAAACGATACCTACGCTATCTGGCTTAAGCCGATTACCTCTGGCCTCCTTTAGGTTTACAATCCACCTCGTCACATTGATCCGAATGCAAGCTGGCCACGGTTCATTTGTAGGACTAGTAGTGTTTCCTTTGAAGTCTTCTTCTAATTAAGAGAAGTTGAGCTGCTACATCGGCATCTGGTGCCCTCAAAAAATCAAACAGATACGCATAACATATATCAAAGACATGTCATCAATGCATGCCACCCAACCCTTTCAAGCGTCATCCTCACCCGAAGAGCCTGCGCCAGCATCATGCTCGGGAGCGTCTTCAGGCTTTTGCGCGTACCAGAAGTAAAAGTTGAGGTACCGGTGCTTAGTCCTGTCCTCAAGCTCCTTCTTGGCCGTCGCTTGCCACACTTGACTCTCGACATTCGAGATGCCGTGAGCCTCAAAGGGTTTACCGGCGAAGGCCGGGATAGCATCGGCAACGACGCCCTTCATGTATTGCCCAATGAGCCGCATGGTCTTGTCCTTGGGCCAGGTCCCGACAGGGATCTTCTTCACCTCACAGTGGATATCCTTGAATCCTGCAGCCTCGAGATGGGGCCGCAGGTCTCGTGCAATGTGAAACATGATGCCGAGGCCAGCAAAGGCTTCGACGGTAAGCTCGTAAAATTCCTTGAGCTTGTCATCTTCAGGCATGGTACCGTCGTCGCAGTGGACTTGGCCGTGAAGCTCTTGGAACTCGATCCAAGCACCGGGCTTCATGTGCCTGTCATTTCTGTGAATATGATGTCAGGAAGAGTTTTGGTACTAGACTTACTCATATGCCTGGGTCAAGACACGGTCTAGCTTTCTGAGCGCGGGGGCTACAGAACGCAGGTGGACGTAATCAAAGTCATCCCCGTTGAGCCATTCATCCTCGGCATCGTCGACAAGGAATTTTACATTCGGGGGGATCCAAGTAGGTTGAATTGGAGACAAATCGATCCCAAGAACTTCAGCGGCAGGGAAAAGGTCGGCAACTTCAAAGCCCGTATTAGGGGCCATCATTGGTAGTTCAGATAAGAAGGTTCCGGCATACCTTGAATTGCCCAAGTTCCTAAGTAACATATTAGTCAGGATTCGGAGACCGTGGTGACTTGTGGAGCTTACCAGTTCCAGTTCCGATGTCGATGATTCTCTGAGGGGTCTCGCCAATGGGTGCGTAGATCAACTTTCCATCCTGGGTATCTATCGTCAGCTATGGGAGGATCACCAGACGAGCGGCAGGGCGTAACTAACGGTCAGCTCGAGCAACATGGTATGTTTCATGTCCTCGCGACTTTGCTCTGTCTCGTCATTGGGCATGGGATAGCGCCCATGGCGATAGCTGTGGTAGCGACGACCATTTTCGTACTCGTGCGCGTAGACGCTGGAGCTGAGCGAGACAGAGTCGACCGAGGACGCATCCCAGTTAACAGGCTCGAATTCACTCTCGTCAGCTGGTCCATCGGCCGCCTCAATAGCAGCAGCGGGGTGCTGGGAAGCTGGATCGTCGTTGCTGGACATGGCTTCAGGTACCTCCACGGATCCACGATTTCTTTCTGGAAGCTAGAAAAACAGTGGAGTTAGCAAGGGGGTCCCAGTCGCGAGTCAGAAGGCATCACGAAATCTTACCGCTAATGCACGGCGTAGAGCAATCAGTTCTTGGCTATCTCACTGCAGTGGCCAAAAGCATAGATTTCTTGTAGGATTTTGGCGTCGTCGCAAAATCAAAGTTGTTGTAGCAAGCACACGTGGTCAAAGTGCCAACGCTCGTCTCAACGTGACAGAAAATGAGACGTCGGAAGGGTGGGAGAGCCGAGAGTATCCTGAAGAATTACATTTGATCGGTTGGTTCCATTTCGCTCGGGTGTGCTCCATTTTACTGCGTGAGGAGACAGCAATATCAGGCAATGCTCCAACGGACGAAACAACTCAATTGGTTGCTGGCCGAGGTCCTCGAGACCAATCGAGAGCACAGATTGGAAGGGGAACAAGTCGATAGCAGGGGGTCTTTGCTCCGCTTCGAAAAGCGGCACAGTTCAATGTTTGTCCCAAGCTGACAGGCCTGTTGGCCCGAACTGATATCCATCTGGGCTACATGCCCAGGAATAAGATGGAGTTGGGCTCGCGGCGATCCGGCGAGGTGCAGCTTCCAGCGCTGGAGAAGAGCAGCATACTAACTTCCCTTGCGAACAAAGTGTGTGCAAGGCGACGGTTTCATAGGTTCCAACTCTTTCGATCAGCAGCATTTTGATAGCGTGGAAATGTGTGAAGCGGTCCGCAGGGAACATAATACCCACTTCTGTCTGACTGGCCATGTTCTCATTACGGAGACAGTGTTGGCGACGGAGAGTTGTGCAGTGGCTCAGCAGAAAGAAATCGATTGTTCTAGGACAAGGAGACAACAACGATCGCCAAGATCTAATCGGCTGCAGGCAATGGAGGGCCAGAATACAATAAATATGCCATTACCCGAGGACATGCCAGAGCCAGAGGATAATGCGATTGGGAGGCGGCATTGCTGTCGTGGATTTTGAAATTACCCCTCCTGTTCTTCAGCAGCCGGCCCGGCGGGATCACGCAATGAGATGGGTGCAACCTTAGGAATTAGGTTTTCTCCTGCTGCTTGAATGGAAGCGGCCGGCAAAGCAACGGTAAGGAACGGATGCTGAGTGAGGTAAACGGCAGCAAACGGCAGTAGGATTGATACCTAAGGATGGACCGTTTTAATGGTGGGATCTACATAGGCATGGAAAGATCGGAACCTGGTGAGGACCTGCCAAATGCTGATGAAGAAAAAGAGTTTGAAGTGGGATGGAAGGAACGAACAACCTTTGGAACACTTCCAATTTAGTCAAGTAGGGAGGACCCACCTTCTTCGGCCGTCCTTTCCTCCAAAGCTCCAAATGTTCCCAGGCCGGGGTTCAAAATCGATCCATCACGGACGGCTTAGCTCCAGGACGTTGACCCGTGCATAATGACATGCGCCTTCCTTTTTCTCTTCTTCTTCTTTTCTTTCTTCTCTTGCATTCGACTCCATCGCCGGCTCCTCTGTCCCAGTCTGTCCCAGATGGAGGAGGGGCTCTGCTTGCCGATGGTTCCTCATTGTGTCCAAAAGGTAAGGTACCTTCAGTGAGGTGTATCGAGTTTCTTTCCATCTTTTACCCAATCGCTTGACTTGCTTCAGTATACAGGTATCTTCATTAGGTAACTAAGGTAAGTTGAGGAAGGCGAGGCGAGGCAGGTACCTGCCGGTCCTGCCCACCTGCCCACCTGTCTGAGAACTCGAGACAGAGATGGACCCAGCCTGCGGTACTTACACCTTCCCAACTTTCTTTCCTCCGAAATCCAAACTCCAACCTCCTCCTTCCTGCAGCTGCAGGTGTGGAAAGTCACACCTTACAGGCAGGCGGAGACAAACCGGACCCTTGGTCTCCTTCCACAGTACTCCGTACTTGCCTACGGAATACTGTGCCTCCAGGTTCTGGCATTTGGGACATGGAATGAAGTGGGAGCAAATCCTGACCCCGCCCCCTTTGCCCTTTGGCCGATGAAATGTTTGCTCCAACAAAGCCACAAATCCAACGACATCGTTTTTGTCGCTCTCTTCTCTTGCTTCCTTCGGTCACGCCCCCGTCTCCTCTGCCTCCTTTCAAAAGCGATTCCAATCAATAGCTTACCTAATCACTCTTCAGAGCATTTCTCCCGTCGCCTTACCCCCTCATTTCCACTCGCAGGCACCAGTTGTTATAGCGCGCTTCTGCCATGTTTTCATCTGCCATACCGCCAAGTTTAGAGGCGTGCGCCTTGCAATCGTTTAAACCAGGCCAGAATCGTCTTGGCGTCTTCTCAACCTCGAGTCTCTGACATGCTTCGCTCCGATACGGAGGAGACAGAACGCACAATACGATGCCTTCTTCAGGCCCTGACTAGAGGTTGCCCGGGATCCATCGACTTGTGCCCTCATGGCATCCAATGGCTGAAGCCGACTACTGCGACTGACTTACATATGGAGCCCTGCCCGCATATCTTCGTACGTACAGACACCAAAGACAGGGTGCTGCGTGGGCACACGAAATGCCTACGGTAGGGTCACGGAACCACATCACGGATCAACGTTTGAGACCTCTATTTCACTCTTGATCTGCATGCCAGAGACAGTATGGGCACACACAATACAGACGTCCTCTTATAGCACTGTGTCTTTCGTGGGCCCATACGACTTGCCCGGCGACGCAACTCGACAAGACACGACCAGTGCGCCGGACGCACATCAAAGACAGCACCTCCATGTCCGCTTCGTCGTCGACTTGCCATTGGCCCCGAATGGCACCAACAATGGGCAAACAAGACAACAATCCGCCCTCGCATATCAGTCACACCATGCAACTGTCACCTATTCATCGATACCCAACTCGGCCATCCCTCATGCAATGACCTCATTTATCCAAATCGTCGGATTTCCCAACAGTCAGGGCCGCTTCCAATGTTCCGTCATGTGCTGCCAGCGTGGCATGCAGTCCTTCTGCACCCATCCTCCACCTCAACCCTTCGACTCTGTCGGCTGTTTCCATCGTTTGGTGGGGCACATCACGCAGCCAAGCTGCTGCTACATGTCCCCCTCGACGACCCCTCCCCTGCCCATCAACTCTCGCAACTATGCTACTGGTCAAATCGCACACAGAGACGGCCGTCCTGAGAGACACAATTCCAGTTTGTCACTTATGCTCAAACCTCGACGCAGACGCTCCCTCTGCCCAGCCCGGCTTGCTCGACGCTCAACTTCACCGCCTGAAGTTGATTCTCCTTGCGTGTCCGTGTGTGATTCACTGACCAGCCCCCGGCCTACCGGCGCAGGAGCTGGGATCTACCCACTTCAAAAATAACAGACACCGCCGTGCCGCCCGAAGGTTTCAGTGCATATCGATTCGCCAGTCGATCCACTCTTTGCACGTCAGTGTGATGACCACTGTCTGTAATGGCTCAATTCAGTCCATAGCGAATTCGGCCCTCACTCATCCGGCCACGGGCAGCAACTGACCCTGGGAGATCGGGAGCGAGTGCGGGATACACTCCTCGGAAACGTCGGTGGGAGCGTGGCACAGCATGCTACTCGGCTCATCGCAGGGAAGCAGGTTGTTTTAGAGTTTTGGTACACCACAGCAGAAATACCGCCTCGCTGTCTTGCCGCACGTCTCGTCGTCTTAGCCTGGCAACGCCTCGTGGATTCTCCAGCCATGCTTTCTTTTTTCCAGGCCGGTTTCCCTGCTTAGTTGCCTACAACTAATACGGTACTCCTAACCATGGATTCGATCAGTTCTACAGCTCGAAGCCACATCCAGGGACTGGGGTATTTTCCCCAGCCTCGGCATCCTGGCTTCAAAGGCTTCTCACCTTTAAGCGAAAATCTCCCCCAGGTTACCAGAAATATCAAATGACCGAGGAATGACCATCGGGTTCCAATGTCGCTTCGTGGCTGACGGTGGCGCTTTCCAGAGCTAGTCGGAAATAACAAGCATGTCTCGAATCTGGTTCCAAGTCTTCTGCCAGTTTCATGCCGAAATTAGTCTTGCTGCAAGTGTTCATTCACATCGCTTCTTTCCGTGGTTCGGCAACCTGATCCGGTTACGGCAATATCAACGTCCGTGTGCAAGAGCCGAACGAACTTCCTACGCAACGAGGCTGGATGGCCGGCCGTGGAGCACTCAAGATCCTCCTAGAGCGTACCTAGTTTGCTGACCAGCCCGACGTCTGATTGTCAGAGAAACAGGCACCACAACTGCTGAGCCCATCATTGCAGCTCGCTAGACCAAAGCTCTCCCCCGCTATTGCCCTGCCGCCCTGCCGTGGGCACAACGGCGATGTTCGCATTGGCGACCGAGAGTAACCACGGCAGGAATGCGGCTGTTCACTACTCTGCTCGCGCCTGAACAATAACACAACAAGGCACGGACATGGGCGTCGAGAACTTTTGGGGCGCTGGCCTGGTTCCCTAGGACCTAGGTACATCACAGCTAAGACCCGCATGCAAGGCCGGGCGAGCGTGGAGAATCCAGCTGGAAGACGCAGAAGAAGTGGACGAACAAAAATGAGGAGGAAGAGGAAGAAGGACCAAAGTAGCGGTGCGATGCGCAGGGATCATTCCTGTTCGTTGCAACCCTGATCGTCAACTGCCGCCAAGGGTCGGTGGTCGTGGCCGAAGGCCGGCTTTGAACTGAGGGAACAGACTCGCGCTGGTGCTAACTCACAGACATAGAGAAGAGAGAGTCAGGACGCCGACGAGCGAGCGAACTAATCAAAACAACGGCGCCAGTGGCCGGGCATGGCCGCCCTACTATTACGGTGCCTTGCAATTTGGCTTTGGCAGCCATCTCCTCATCCTTCTCCGCCTCTTCGTCTCTGGTACATGGACGTTTCTCTCACTCGTCCAGATCTCTCATATATGACTTGACAAAAAGTCTCAACACCATCCATCCCCCTGCAAGCGCAAATGCATCCAAGTACTCACTCCCTTCGCACCCCCCCATGATCCATCCTTCACCCCCAACCCAATTATGTCATGCATCATGGCTTCAAAGTATCCTGGACCCTCTTGTAATTTTGATACCCGTCCCTTGGTCTCCACCGCCTCGAACAAGGCCTTATACTACCTTGCCCGTCCCGCGTTCGCTCACCGTCGCATTTGGCTTGTCACTCCCGTGCTGCGGTGTCTAGCTAGATATATAGACACTTCTCCATGCTGTTTGGAGCCACAGAGGTTCGCGCTTGCTGCCTGACCGAACAGCTCATTGCTCAAACATGCAGCTTTGGGTTCAAGTCCTTTTCTTCATATACTGTCCTTACTACCGTTCCCTTGTCACATTGACTGCCAGAGTTGCTTTTCTTTCCGACTTTTCGAACCCTGCCTCTCTTTCTTGAACAGTCTTATGGCAACCAGAGTCAAGATGAGTTCTTCATCGTCTTCGCGCAAGTCGCGCAGAACAACTAGCATCTCCAACGTCATGTACACCAACGCGGTCTACTTCCCCAACGAACGGATATACCAAGGCGACACGCCGGGCGCCATGAACTATGGCTGCATCAACCATGTGTATTACGCCTTTGCCAATATCTCGCCTGATGGAGGTGTTTTCGTGAGTATACCCGGTTCCGCTGTTCGTATGAGTTGACTAACTAACCCTTCGATAAGCTGAGCGACGAGTGGGCCGATGCCCGCGCACCAGTCGATGGCGTCCAGGGTGGCCTAGGGTCTCTCATGCACCTCAAGCAAAAGCATCCCCATTTGCAAGTGATTCTATCCATCGGGGGCGGCAATTCCAGTGCCGTGTTCCCCGTGATAGCTGCGAACACACTCTACAGAGACAACTTTGCCCGGTCTGCGAGAGGCCTGGTCGACGCGTCGGGCTTGGATGGCATTGATAGTGAGTTTGCTCGATTCTTCCTGCCTCTGCATTAGTGTTTTGTTAGCTCACATCGTCGATCAGTTATGTGGGAGTATCCTTGTGATTCTCAGCAGGGCCACCATTTCCTGGCTCTGTTGGCGGCTGTTCGCCTTCATATGCCCGAAAGTCATTATCTCCTTACTGCTGCGTTACCTGCCAGCCGAGCGATCTTGCAATACATCGATCTGCAACGAACGGCCGACTACGTCGACTACCTCAACCTCATGGCGTACGACTTCGCCGGCACGTGGACACACAGAAGCGGCCATCACGCGCAATTGTATGCAATGAGCAAGGACGAAACCTCGGGTGCATCAACCGTGCAGTATCTGGTCTCGCAAGGCTTTCCCTCGCAAAAGATCCTCCTCGGCATTCCCCTCTACGGTCGCAGCTTTCTTCATGCCACTGGGCCGGGACAGAAGTTCAAGGGAAGTGGCGGGAGCAATGGGACATTCGAGTACAACCAACTTCCCCGTCGGGGGACGAAGGAAGTCATTGACAAGAAGTCTATCGGGGCCCAATGCGTCGGAGCAGATGGCGGCTTCGTCACTTATGATAACCCCGATACGGTGAAGATGAAGGCTGCATTTTGCAAACAGAAGAGCCTAGGAGTATGTTTTGCCCCAATCATACCATGCAATGATACATGTGCTAACGAGTTGATAGGGACTATTCTACTGGAGTGGACCAGCAGATGCAAAGGAGAGCTCACGGAGTCTCATAGCCACCGGATTCAGAGCTCTGCATAGTTCCTGATGGGCTAATTTTCCTCAGAATGGATCACCTAGAGTGCGTCCAAGACATTCAGCAACAGTCCGCCGACACGTGTCGGCAAACCTCGGCCTCACGGGCCGGAAGGCAGTGACAGACAGACGATAATTGCATTTGCGCGGAGTAAGGGGATCGACAGCATCTGACAAGGGGGGCGACATGGCGTTCTTTTTTTTCCCTTTTAATTCGGCGACCTGCATCACGGTCTTGTTTCTTACTCGATTTTCGACATTTGCTCAGTTTTTACGAATGATTCCCCCTTGGATCTTTTTGATCGACGCATCACCAGGCGGC